TATTATATCATATTATATTATATTATATCATATTATATTATATTATATTATATTATGTTATATATATATATATATTATATATATATATATATATATATATTATATATATATATATATGAGCCCTTCCAAGATAAACTGCACCCTTCCACAAGTAAGTCTAAAAGAAGAGGAACACGAACCCGGCCGACGAATTCAGGTCCATTGCGCTTCTGGAGTTCGCGTATCGCGACCTGGCCTTCTTCTTTGCTTTTGGCGGAGGTGCGGAAGCATCGTATGTCCAGTCCATCGCCACGGTGGTAAATCCCAAAGATTTGGCAAGCCGGGACACCCTAGCCGAGCCACTGAAGAACTCGATGATATCATACTTGTTTGTAAGTACAACTCCATCCAGCCAGCTGGTCATCAGAACCAACAGAACGAAAACCTAAGCTCATAGACCCACACACAACCACACCTAGCGAACCCAGCCTGTTGGTGTAAGACACGGGCCTTCGGAAGACCGAAGCCGATCATCGTGCGAAGCATGGCGTCTAGCTCTTCAGGTGTCATTGCACAGCAGTCCGGGGTAGATGTTATATATAGACGGCAGGGACAGCTGGAACAAGCAATGGTGTGTTGCACTGCACCAACATTGAGTGTCGCAACCATGTCTGACATGAGACTGCGTGCTGTACAAAAGCTAGCAGCTAGCGATCGCAGCTGAAAGAACAAGACGAAGCACTGCACGTGCAACCAGATGCTAACCCTTCCCGAACATGACAACTGACAGTGCTGGCAATTAAACACGTTGGGCCGACCCGGCGGCCTGGCTTGCCCGAATCGAGCAAAGACAGAGTGACCTCGCCGAAGGCTCATCGTGACGACGAGCCAGAGTACCTGGACGGTGAGGCCAGCCCGAGCGGCTTCGAGAACTGAAAAATGTGGCAGCTCTACGAACAAGGGTGCACTACCAAAGCCTCTACTTTTTCGCACTCCCCATCACGAGATGCTTTGGATCAGGACTGATCAAGACAACTGGAAAGTTGCACCCCTTCCCGGCAGGAGAGAAATGTGGGTGATCGTATTTGAGTCGCAATAGTAGTTTAGCACAATACCTGGGGATCAGCTGGAGCAACCCATCTTCCCTCGGCCAGGTTCCTGGAAGCTCGTCTGGCTTCAAAACTCAGCAGCTTGGAGGCTGTTCCTAAGGCTATGAAAGCCGCTTGGACTCAATGACAGGATTCCACCCCGGGGTTTCAGATTTAGCTCTACACGGAAGCACCGCATCCCAAACTTTGGCAAACCCGTAGACCTATAGTCTCGACTCTAGGGTTTGGTTGAGGTTACTGGGTAGCTGGGGTGCAATCCTCTATAGTACTGCAGGCTAGCTTTCACAGACATCGCAAAAAGCGCGCAAGCTTTATAGCATCGGCGTCCATGTTTACAAGTGCCATCAATCCCTCATGTTTTCCTTCACATCTGCTTCTCCGAAGTAGTGATGAAGGATCTCCAAGGCCCTGTTCGCATAGATATCGGTCTGGGCATTTCCGAAGCTATGACCCTGGTACCAGCTCGAGAAGAACTTCCAGAAGTGGTCCTGGTAGTTTGAGAACGTGTCACGATATATAATAATGAATGTCAGTTAAGTAATGACACAAGCGATGGGATTGAAGATCATGCTGTTTACAAAGAGGCTCCTCAAACTTGGACGGGTAGTGCAGCTTTGGGGCAACGTGCTCTTCGAAGATGCGGCGAAGTCCAGACCACTTGGCAAACCCAACTTCCGTCGGGGGTTGGTTGCGGCGGGCAAAGGTCTGTTTCTGGCACGGGGCTTCGTCTGGGTCGGCTTTTTTTGACTTGGCCTTTGCTTTGGCTTTGGGCTTCCTGTCTGGCTTTCCCTGGTTGGCCTCTGCTTTGGCCTTTGCTTTGGCTTTGGGCTTCCTGTCCGGCTTTCCCTTGTTGGCTTTGGGGATGCTTGCATCTTCCTGGTCATCTGTCTTTCCCTTGTTGGCTTTGGGGATGCTGGCATCTTCCTGGTCATCTGTCTGCGGCTTGCTGCTTTGCTGAAGCTCCTTGGTATCCTTCTCCTGCCCTTGCTTGGTTTCGGGCTCATTTGTCCTCGCTCGCTTCGTCTTCGGCTTGGTCTCGGGCAGACTGCTCTCAGGCTGCTCGGGTGCCCTGCTTTCAAGCTTGCTTGCTGCGGTAGCAGCCGCAGGCCGTTTCATCGAGCCCCTCCCCCTGCCACGTCCACGACCCCTGGGTTTATCCTCCGCAAACTTTGCCTTCACGCCCAGCTGCTCCTTCCGGGTTAGAGGCACCTGTCAGGATTGCGATGCAAAGTGCACACTATACGTACCTACCGACACCACACCACTCTAGGCCAAAACATCCGTAGCAGCCCTGGCCAACCCAGCCTCAAGGTCGAACACATCCTCAAGGATCTGGGTTTCAAGCTGGTCGGGCGCAACAACTTGCGCCGTGGATTCTGCCACCGTGGCCTGATGAGCCTGGCCACCCGGCACGGCATCAGGTTTCGGCACCAGGGGCAAGGCCTGCTGAGGCGTTGCTGGAGGCCTTGGTGCCTTCCCTTCCGAAACCACAGGCTTTTTGATCGAAGGAGGATGGCCCCCGACCCCAAAGCCCTCTTCGACAGGATGTAGAGGAAGCACCTGCTCCTTCTTCTCTGCAGCCAACTTGATTTTGTTCCTAAGCTGAGCTTCTAGTTTTTAAGGTTCTAAGGGCTTACGAATTAAGGTCTAAGGGTTTACGAATAAGCATTGGGGTTTGACTCAAAAAGCAAGCGAAGACAACACTGACGACAAGCTACTTCAGCTCTGCAATTCGACGCTTTCGTTCTTCACGAGACATCGATGGCATCTCAAGCTGAGGCTTCTCGTCACAAGTGCCAGCAACTTGGGTCGCTGGGGCTGGAAGAGCAACTGGGGCTACTTTGGGACTCAACACTGGAGCCTTGGATGCCCTGGCATTGGAACTGAGCCTGCGAGCCAGCTCAGCGTCATTCATAGCATCGTCGTCATCATCATCGTCATCATCTCCGGCACCATCTGTGATCTCCTCGATGCATTCATCCTCCTCTGCCTCCTCCTCCTCTCCACCTTCTTCATCCATATGATCTCCCTCGTCAGGAGCACCATCATCATGTGCATCTTCCTCCGCCGTTGCGGAGGGCCAATAGCCCTTGTAGAACTTGCAGATGCGATCCACTTCGGTATCCTTAGGCTATGACTGAACACTGAAGCTGGTGGTCTCATGTGGGCAGCCAAAATTATTTATCGAATTTAAAGCCGGCACCCGCTAGTCGATGCATTAAAGATGACTATACTAAAGTCAATGGAGCCGATGAGCCCGCTTCTTCTCGGAGACGTAAAGTTTACGATTGATCAACGTCTGGAAGCCCTTTATGGCATGTGCTTCACAGTGCACACTCGCAGGGTCAGCCTCCAATTTCAAATGCGCTCGCAAGGCCTTCACCTGCAGGGAAGTTCGATTTAGCAGGTGTACCTAGGTTCTAGGTGTTGCCTCGGGTTACATTTGCGGGGATGATATCTTACGGCGCTGTGTAGGTGGAGGGTCTTTCAAGCTTTAGCTGTTCTAACTCAGGAAGTATGCCGGGCCTGCTTCTTGATGGGCCCCACAACGAGTCCCAAAGGGGTACTTGACTGGGGACAAAGCACACTGCCAACAGCAATCATGAGGTCGGCGTTCATCCGGAGCGACTTTACTCCCACTACCCCGGTAAGTTTGGGGCATGACCACTTCAACAGCGTTCCCTGGTTCAAAATCAAGGAACGGAGTACTGGATCATTGGCTAGCCTGTCACTCAGGCCATCCACATGGCCCTTCGGAAATTTTGCCGTAGGCATTATCGAGATGCAAAAGCCCGCCCCGAGAACGGAGCTCGCGACTAATTAACCTCGAGCCAAGAACAACAAACAGTTATGACCAGCCTTGCTCAAAGTCTGATTTCCGAAAAACACCAGCACGAGTACACATCTGATGTAGCTGAGGCGGGGAGGCGCACTTGGCGGAGACATCTGAGCATCGACCTGCGAGGGAATGAGAATCAAACTCATGTTATTTCGAACATGTATGGCATAACTGAAGCATAACCATAGAAAGCTCTTCGAGCGGCAGCAGCGGTCGACTGTAATCCCGCATCTACCTCGGGACATGTACAAACCTACTCTTCCCTAACCCCTTTGGGAACTAGATAGAACTAGACTTAACTAGACCATCACTCGCTGCACAGCGTCTCACAAGCTTGTGTGTCACCATTGCAGCAAACAGCCCGTGGACCAAAACCGCTCATCACTCTGAAGCAGTTTCTCCGCTTCTGATCCCAGATTTGCCTGGGCTCGGATCACTTCTTTTAGTTACACCATATAAAAGATAATTAATTCTATTCCAGTGATTTATTGCAACTGGGCGACTCAGCTTTGTATAGGCACGCCACAGAACCCAGCATGACCCCTTATTGTCAAAGTTGTCGAGCAGCATTTCAAGCTCATCGTCAGTCATACTTGCCTGTGGGTAGCATCCCCAAACCCCTGTGCAGACAAGTGTTGGAATTCGGGAGCCTTGGGATCCTGACGGGGATACAAAACATGGTGCGCTTCGTTCCAGAAGCCCTCCGGCATGGTCATGAGTCCTGAGGGGGTGGCAAGCACCAACTACACTAGCCAAAGTCACACTCAATCCAAGCAACATACTCAACAACCGACTGGCCTGCTTTGTGAGCCCTGTCGAGCAAGGAAACTTTCGTGATGGACATTATAACAAGAGCACGGAAAGATCTGCTGGAGCCAAATCCGAGCTTGCACGCACAATTCAACATTCAATTCCTGCTCAGCCGGCAAACATTCAGCGGCAATCAACACAGCACAGCAGCACAGGGGGTCTTGCCCGAAGGACACGGATCTAGCCTGCAAAGGTCGCTACATTCCGAACCAAGACGGCCAAGCCGGGAAAGAGTGGTTCAGCCCAATTCGAAGCAATTCAGCCCACTTACATGCAGGGAAACACAGAACCGCCCACTCAAGCCACAACCGCACACATATACACATTTTAGCTTTTCTACAAGCGAGCATAAATTAAGCAAGGCGAAGAGGATGCAGGTATACGACTTTTGTGTCAAAGCAAAGCCTTGTGTGCACATAGAGATCTCGATGCCCAGGAATCTTATTGCTCCTTCAGACACCAATTGCAACTCGCTCGTCTTCCACACTTTTCTGATGGCGACCGCAATCTCCTTGATCAGTTCAGGTCTTCCGCACAGCAGGATGTCATCAACATATACCACCAGTATTCCAATCAACTGAGAGCCCTCCTGGAAAATCGACAACCACGAAGGTTCTACCCTTCCTTGCATGAGGACTACTTTCTTGCCCTCAAAGACCAGCTGGATTTGGGCCAATCGAATATCTCTGTACATGCCCCATAGCTTCGGTGACTCCTGTAGTCCATATACTGCATGAGTTAGTTTCCACAATTCCCCAGGTTTGCATAGTCCCGCCTTCACCAAGAGTTTAGGAGGGATGCCGTACACGAGAGGTGCGCCTTTCAACCCCTTCAGAGGCGTCTGTAAAAAAGCGGCCACAACGTCTATCATGCCTAAATCCCAATTGAACATGCGGGCAATTGCGATTGCAGCTCGAACCACTTCGGCCGGAGCCGTGTTCGTGTAGACTTCACCAGGTTGGTGCGATGCTAGATTTCCGCATATCACAATTCTCGATTTTCTCTTGTACCACCTCTCTGGAGCACTGCCGTCGGCTGGCATGTCTGGCGGCTTGACCGTGAAAACCACCTTCATAGGAATAACTTGGCCCTGACCAGTTTCGATGTCTTTGCGGACCCGTTGATCACTGCTATGGACCTTTTCAACCGCATGCTCCAACGAGGCAATCTCTTTGTTCAGGGACGGTATCCACTCACCAAAATACTGCACGACCTCCTTGGGATTCACCGTGTGCACGATGCTTAACGGGCTATCTAAGCCATTTAAGAGCTCTTCCACATTCTCTGTAAAGCCCACCTCTGCATTGCGTAGCACCACTTCATCCCAGGAGTCTGTACCCACTAGAGCAGCTCCAGAGTCGACATTCTCCAAGTTCAAGTAAAGCTCCCATCGTAACCACTCTTCACTGGGTATCCCTGATCTGCTTTCACTCGCCGCGCTGCTGATAGTAGATACTGCTTCCATTGCTGCATCCCGTCCAACAGGGTCTTGTACGTTCCCATCGTCCTCCTCAATGATGCCTTTGTCCTCGGACCTGCCCTGGAGATCTCGCACATTCAGCATGTTGATCCTCACATCACCACCTTCCTCTTCGTCGCGTAGTGGCATAGGGAATCCCAGGTTCCACAACAATGCTCTGTCCGTGCACTGTAAATTCTGAAGCATTCCTGGAGTATAACCCACCAGCACCAAACGATCCCCAGAAGAAGGTAGCACGGCATGTCTTCGATGTGGATTCAAACAGAAGATCTCCCCAGCTTGCAGTGGATAAGCGCACCCATATCTTGCCTTTCCGTCCTGCGAGGTAAGTTCAGTTACTCGACCTGATACAACATCTCCATCTCGAAGTTCTTGCCATATTTCACCTCCGCGACGTGGCATGATCAGGGGCAATATGTAGTTAACCGTGCCCATTGCGTTATTCCGGTCGATATGGACTTCTCGCTGGCTATTGATGGACACATAAATAGATGCGAACTCTGCGTCTGGCACCTTGTCCTTCAGCAACTTCAAAAGAACTGTAGTGAACCAGGGTCTCTCTAATGTGGCTCGAGTAACACCTGCTTTCCTACCATATCTGAACATGCCATACACGGTTTCTGATGCTGGCAGCTGTTGACAAACCTCCTTGACTAGCACCTTGGCCTCCTCCTGTGACCAAGTCATCATCAACTGCTCCGCCCGCTTCTTGTACTCTGTCTCATCGAGGATTGCAGCCTTTGACAATGTAACCACATCTCCTGAACCTGCTGATTTACCTCGAACTCTTCTGCTAGGTCCCGCTGGTTCCTCGGCATCAACATCCGCTTCTACTGGACCAGGATCGTGTAGTCCAGCTCGAACGTGAAGAGTATGGATAAAACGTCCACTATCCTCCTCCTGAACCATGTACCCACTTTGGAGCCAAGTCATCCAGCTTGGGCCCTTCCAGCTGTCTTTTCCTCACCATCACCTTGGCCCCGTAGGGCGCAGCTAAAGTCGGCTCAAACCCCAGTACTTCTCCTCGCTGCATGGTAGCTGCCGTTGTAACTGCGGTGGGCCATAGATGTTGTGGTAGCTTGGCTGATAGTAGTAGCGCACGTGCCCTCTGCTTTATCCATCGCACTGTAGACTCTGCCGCCCCATTTGTCTGATGGACTCCAGCTTCTGAGGTTGTCACGCGAATACCCTGGGACTTCAACCATTGCTTTGTTGCCCTTGCCTGAAACTCCATCCCACGATCCGAGTGAAATCGTAGAACCGGAACATTCAACGCGTAACAGTACAGCACTACATCCTGTATTGCTTCCAGAACTGTTGCTGCCTTATCATCTCGGATCCCGGTGGCAAAGATCAAGTTGACCAACTCCGGCGGTGCCAAATCAATGTCCTCCTCAGGGTCTAGCTTCTTGTGAGTGTCCTCATCGTCCTCTTCTTCAGCTTCCCCTTTGTCAGGAACCGATTCCTTGGGTTTTATGCCTTCCTTTTCAACTTGGTCTGCAGGGTCAGACGCGAGGCCATCATCTTCGTCCTTATAGTCTTCTTCGCTCAGCTCGCCTTTGTCGTAGTCGACCCAAGTCCCTCGGCCGTCCTCCACGAACGATTTAGGAACCCGCAACTTAGCCACGAAGATATACTTGAACCGCTTTGGGAAAGCGCCTCGAGCATCTGGATCTGAACCACCAACTTTCACTGGACCTGATAGATCTGAGGATAAAACAAATGCCGCAGGATGCTCAAGACGGGCGTGACGACGGCCTGTTCCACCCGCTTGCACACATACTGCGCAATCGGCCCGGTAAGGTAGGTGACCTCTCCTCACATGGTCCTTCCACTGCTCAGCGCTCATCCTAACCATCCGCGGTACCGTACCCCAGTTTCTCAACGCGATGGTAACATGCTCCAGGAACTCTACTGGCCACACACACGCAGGTGCTCTTTCTGGAACAGGACCATCTGAATACAGTCGCGACCTGAGTCTATCTAAGTGTCGTAGAGGTAGATTGGTTCCGCATGTTGTATGTCTCGTGTACACTTTTCCCAGCGCTGCCACGTCAAAGCTGTATGTGTGCAGTCCTGCTTCCAACGCATACTCCGTCCACAATGGCATTCTCCACAAGCTCACCACTCCCGGATATAGAGGATCTCCATACTTCAAATAGCCCCGGGGATCCCGAGGATGTTCTAGCAGGAAACCCACTTCTCTTGGATATGTTGGATCTCTGGGATTTGCAAGCCTTCCAGCTGTGGCCAATGCATGCAGATAAATCATCCTGGCAATGAGCTGCGTTTGTTTGTTGACTTCCCGAACATCTGCCTCTAGCTGGCCGTCCCAGTTGCCGTACGGGAACTCGTTGGTACGAAGCTGAGGTGGGCCACCGAGGTTGTACCGGAAGATCATGAACGACCCTTGGGGTGGTCCTCCAATGACTGCTGATATCTTCCCCTTTCGTGCGGCGTATTCTAACACCCTCCACGTAGCTGGCCTCAGTATGTCATGGGTTTTTCCCCTCTCGATATCCAGCTCCAAAATGGTATAGCCATGCGCTTCCAGGTGAAATAGTTCACGTTTTTCTCTTGTTCCAGCAAAAAGGTGTACGATCCACTTGTCTGAGCTCCATAGTCGCTTGCGAGTTCGGCGATTCAGATGCTGTAGTCCCTTCAGAACGTCCCACCCATTTTGCTCTGGAAGTGCATCCACCAAGCCTTCCAAGCACGGTTGTGGTAGATCCTGAAAGGAAGGGGCCGCTTCCACAGCCTTAAGTGCTTCTGTGGCAATGCTGCCCTGCGCAGAACCAGTTCCTCTCCATCATCATTGCAGCCGTCTCTACCTTTCGTCTCGTGTGTTTAATGTTGTCCCTGAGCTCTTCCAGATTGCTATCTTCAAGTTTGGCTATTAGTTGTAGCGCATCATGTTCTGCAATTTCTGGACACCCATCACGCACTCGAAGATTGAAGCATTCTCCTTGTCGTCCTTCTAGCTGACACCTGGTTCCACTCCATGTCATAGTGTAACCCAGCTGTCCCACAAGAGCCCCAAGAGGTACTATTGGAGCCCCCGCTGCGGCATCGGTTGTAGTCGAAGGAACAAGAATAGCGCCCGCTTCATTCATTCTGAGTGACACCGATTCTCCACCCGCCAGGTTCACAACAACCGGCTGCGACGCGTTCCACTCATCTTCCGACACCGCTCTCCTCAACGCATGGGTTGCGCCAGAGTCCACTAAGGCATAGGTTTGCAAACCCCCAGACAACGGCCGATGAGCCTTGAGAGAAACCACATTTATGGACGGACTCGTCGGAGCGGCTTTTGCACCAGCCACCTTAGCTGCCGCCTGCAACAGTGACTCCAGCGTCCATACTGGCTCACCTGCTACAACTCCTCCTGGAGCGGATGGCGAGGCCTCCCCTTCGGGTTCCGCTCTCTGTACTCTTGGCGCCGTAGGGCTCGACGTTGTAGACGCTGCTCCGCCGCGGTTGTCGGTGGCCCCTGTAGATCGCTGTCCAGCTCGAGTCGCCTTTGTAGGGCCATCTCGTTGCCGATGATCTTCTGCCCCGCAACTTAGGCACTTCTTGGATCTGTCCTGCTTTGTGAGGTTGGACATGTCATGTCCGTAAGGACACTTCTGCCCCCTTCTGCATCCCGAGGCCTTAAAGCAGTACTTGCACGGAGCCTTACTCTGTGAGGTAGGCGAAGACACCGACGAGCTCGAGCGGTCCTGTTGCGCCCCAACTCCAATCGCCTTGACCTTAGGTAGTAGTGCTGGAGGAAGGGTTCGTGACACTGCTGCCGATTCTAGCTCAGCTTGCAAATGCTGGTGGTAGCGCTTTACGTCGTCCAGGGATGGCTGCCCGTCAATGCGTAGCGTGGACCTCAGCCTGAACTGAGCATCTCCTCCTTCGGCAATGAACGGATGTTACAGCAGTCAGTGTTTTGGCCAACACCGTCCCGTCCGGACACATCATACTGAGATCTTGGCATCGCTGTATCCATCTCGGCCATGCGCGGAGCCACGCCAGTGCATCATCCAGATTGTCACACGACACAGGCGACTGCAAGTTTCCAAGAACCAGCGTCTTCTCTGAAGCGCCTCCTGGCTGGTACATCGTGTGTAGTCTGAACATAATCAGCACTGCGTGCTGAACCACTCGTCTGGCGATGAGGTCCTGCTTGATCACTTCAGTCAAGCTTTGTAGCAACATTGTAGCAACATTGCACACGCTCTAGCATTCACACGGATCCACTTGCCCTCCGAAAGCCTTTTGTACTGCTGTGCTTGTAGTTGAAGACGTTCCAACGGAGTGGATCCCAGCCATCGCGTGTATGTAGCCTGCACTACCTCCATCACCTCAGTCCACCATGTACCTGACGACGGTGAAAGGTCCTGCATTGCAATAGCAATCTGCGCCAGCCAGTCTTGCAAAACTATTCCGGTTGATATCCCTTCAGGTGACGGTAGCTGTGGTAACACGGGCACCGATGACTTAACAGCCTCCGGTGCTTCATCATCTAAGCCTCGCTGCAGTGTCTTGGCCTGCATATCTTGAAGCTGTGTCATACTGCGTGTTAACATCGCCAGCATCTCCGCCGTCTGATCCTGAGTTGACTGTGCCTGCGCTGGTGGCTCAGTAAGCGGGAGGTCGTGGGTTCGAATCCCACAGGAGGCTTTGCAGGTGTTGAGTCGCTCTCTGCTCCGGCACCGGTGATTGAGGTGCCGCACTTGTCTTCCCAGCCCAGTCTTCCCACAGTGCTCCTAGAGGGTCTCGCCATGGATTCGCTCGCGGTGCTGGTTGAGGAGCAGGATCTACTCTGGGTTCTTTAGAGGCTTGAGGTTCTTTATCCGTAGTCGCCCTCGACAACTGTTCTTGTAGTCTAACATTCTCTGCCTCCATAGACTGTAGCCTATCGATCAAGCCACCAAGCTGCCGCTGCACTTCTGCTTGTATGGCTTCTGCTGATATTTCGCTGCTGCTTGGGGTTGAGGTATTATTAACACCCGCTATCCTATTAGGCACTCCAGAGCTCCTTGCGTCCCCCGAGCCGAGCCCCACAGTATCCATAGTAGGCGTCCCGAGTTGACCTGTAACAGGGTGCTGCACTGACCTAATCGGCATAGGCGGTGAGGGCAACGGACTCGGTAGCCAGGTTACCGCGGGTCCACGGAAAAAATCCCCCAACTTTGTAACCCAGCCAGGAAGATTGCTATAAGTCTGCTGCCGCCTTGCATCCACATACATATGCGGCCGTGTCCTCCTTGCTCTTGGCGTTTGATAAACACTGCTTTGCCCAGGATCTTCACCTGGGTCCGAAGCCAGCTCCCCAGCATTTATACCCACTTGTCCAGCTGATCCATCACTTGAGTCAGCTTGGCCAACTATGTCGGTGCGAGATCTCAACCCCTGGAACAAAAGCGGGTCCGGTGCTGCGGCCCCTTGGACTCCAGTCACGTCACCATTCTGTTGCTCCATGAAGGTAGAGGCGGATGGCAACGGCTCCGTCCCCATGTTGACGTCGTCACCACCTGTGTTGCCTCCTTCACCAGCTTTCATCTTTTGCGACTGTTCAGATCTGAGGGTCTGCCCCAGACCTGAGCTAGTCGCGGCGGTTTCCACCTCCCGGCCTTCAGCTGAAGCCGCCGGTCCTCCCCCACCATTCATCTGCGGAGTCGTATTGTCGCAGGCTGAGCTTGGGCTCATAACCTGATGAGGCGCAGAACCTCTTACAAACAGCTCAAAAGGATGCCATGGGTTCAAGCCTCGCAACGAATTGAGGTTCGGGCTTTTCCACACACAAACGAGTCAAACATCATGCTCTTACAGGCATGCTAAAAGGTGCTGCATGGACTTCCTTGCGTTAGA